TTGTGTCGACTTGTAAGGGCACAACTGCCCTCATCGCCTCCGTGGGAATAAACATCTGTTCGACGGTTTTCCCTTGATGACACAACAGTGGATGAAACGAAAGGTACTAAAATGTTGCGAAATCGACCTTTCTTAAAGTCATGGGATAAACTTAGCTTTATCAGGTCGAAATTACAGACGTGTTGAATGCATCTTCCCATCCACACCCGAAAGAAACACTAATTCGAGACCGTGCATTAGTTATTAGCCATAAGCTAGCCACAAAGCCGGCTGACTGGCTCTGACTTTGTGAAAATAGAAGGGTTCATGTCTTCGGAAGGACAGGGCTGTGAACTGCACTGAATGATCTTCAAGATGACTGTTTCACTTCAAGTTTCCATTCAGATGCGGAACACTCCCTTTAACACGCGCTCGGGTGGGGGTCAAATTGATCCCGAAGGTTTTTCCAGAATGGTTTCCGAGCGGGGCGTAGCCGCGCCGAATTCGGCATAGCTGTGGAAAAATTGAATGGCGGGTCGTATGACATCACAAAATTAAGTGTACTTTGTAAGGTCGCTGACCTGTGGGAGGTCAAATTGAGGCCTTGGTATCGGCGAAGGCAATTTCTAGGGAATCGTTCAATCTGATCTGACAGCTGAGTGTTAGACCAAGGCATACATCTCTGGGATGCTTTTTTATGCAACATACCAACTAAAAGAGCAAATTGCATTGACTCAGGGCCAGGTATAAAGGTCAGACCAAGGTCAAAATCAATTTGTTTTATTACTCTAGGACTTGTTGTATGGGTGCCCTTTGGTGCTCATTTTAAATTTATTACTAACAGGAACTGCATTATACACCTTCCGTGTACTTCTTGAAGGACAAAATAGGCCACTTACTTAAAATGAGCCAGGTCAACATTTTTGTTTTAGGACCATGCTTTCTAGCTTAATTTGTATCACTTATTTAAGTGCAAAACTCAAAGCAGCCTTGTATTATTTTGGTAACCATGGCTTTAAAGAAATTAAGCAAGGTCACTGACCTTAAATGTGCACGTGAACTTTTGCTTTGAACAGCTATCTAGGTTCTAGGGGCCCTTTGGAGACCAACCTGGAACTTGACCTTTTTTGACCTTATTTGACCCGAATGTCATGACGTAGAAACCTCACACTTTGATCTAAATGGTTTCACGTACAGGTTAATACACCGCCTGAATTTGGTGTCCCTATCTTTCTTAGTTCCTGAGATCTCAGAGGGTCGAATTGACCCCCCGCCTGAGCAAAGAGTATCTAGCCGGCCACCCAGGCGCGTGTTATGTAAAAGAGAATGCTCTAGACCACACATTTTTTTCGGTTTGGTAAATGTGCTCCCTAACACGTCATTGTTTGATTGCGTCGTGCAACTTTTGTATGACGTCGACGTGCTGCAAAACTAGCCGCGCGGAATTGCCACTCTAGTAATCGCTCGTAGTGCTTAAACCACCCGGGAGTGCATAACATCCATAATATAATACTTTCGCTACCTACCGACCAACATGTGACCTTTCTGTGGATATCGTGGTATTATAGCATTGCGGAAATGTCCTCGCCGACACCCTTGAGAACGAAGGTGTCTGTCTACCAACGCCTCTAGCATTGTTTCTGGCACTAGGTGATGTTCATTTCATTTAAATCCGTTTTGCTTCGTATTTGCAGAACCAGTAGAATCTCTCGCATGCTAGACACATGTATCGAATCAAACCTTTACTCCAACCACGGGCAACGTGTCATCAGAACAGGCAAAGAGAAGTGATTTTGCTGTGTTTGAGACGTTGCGGGAAATGTCACGGAAACATTCGTCTCATCCATAGTTACATATTCAGTCGCTTTGCGCCACCGGCCTGCAAGGCTTGTCATGTCTGACTTACGTATTGATTGGATTGGTTATTGATTTGTATTGAATTTTGACACATATTGATTGGAGACGCTGCTCTTACTCGGGAACGTCGCTATGTCACGAGTCACTCGTTAACACACCGCCTCCCCCACACCCTCCGAACGCTGCTAGGCGACAGCGATTCTGTCCAATCCCGATCCGATGTTGACCTGGACTTCGTGATTAAATCGCTATGGGGCACGAAGATCTAACGGAATCTGATTCGCCACCTAGCCCCGTGGTGCGCATGAATAATGTCGGAAAAAGGCAACGGACCGGCACGCAACGTAGCCTAGCTTTCACTCGCGGGCTTTATCCCACATATATGCGATAAATTATGATCTTGAATGATGGTCCTTGCTGACCATATTTTCCGTATTGCCCATCCTATCAAAGCAAAATTGCATTTGTGTGGTTTTCCTGTGCTTTCTCTCTAAAGTAGCCCCTGGACTTACATAGGATGAGCCGTTTTTGTGCAAGATTACTCAGGAATTAGCTTATGCGAGATTTGTTAGCCCCGCTTTCCTCTCATGGCGAATAACGTAAGTTGAAACAAAGCAAAAAAAAAATCGCCGGGAGGTGGCGGTGGAGGTTCTGGAGGTGTTTTCTGAGCTGAATATCGTTATGTGCTAGTGTTTTGGCCCTTCATCGTGGTGTGCTTGCATATTTAACCGCGAATTTAAGATGCATACCTGTGTTTGCTCAACATTCATTGAGAGCCAACTAAGGTCCACTATGCTTAGGAATCGTGTTCACGGCCGCCAGCTCTGAACGGCTCGTCCATAAGATTCTTCTCGGCTTTGACGTCGCATGACCGATGGGGTGGCAGGATTTGAATGTGATTGGGACCTGAATGGCATTGAAAGTCGGCGCGGAGAAGCTCGCACATCTTCGCGGCCGTATAGCTCAGAGGGTTTTTAAATAATAAGAAAGACAGGGCTGTGAACTGCAGGGAATGATTTTCAAAATGGCCTTTTGAATTCAAAACCCCATACAGGTGTGGACCTACTTAAACTCATATAACCCCATATTTTTTGAATTTTGCTAAAAGTAAGCGAGACTAACACAAAATTTAGGCAGTCTTTGGGGAGGGGAACTAATTTAGTTTTTAGTTTTTGAAAACGACAGTTTGACCCTTGACCTTGACCTTTAGGACCTTGGGTAATTTTCCAAGGTCCGGGATGACTTGTTACTGCCAGGTTGACCCACCGGAACGCGCCGGCAGCCGTCAGGTCGACCTGCCGGGGCCCTCCGACAGCCGCCAGGTCGACCTGCCGGGGCCCGCCTTCAGCCGCCAGGTCGACCTGCCGGGGCCCGCCGGCGGCCGCCAGGTCGACCTGCCGGGGCCCGCCGGCGGCCGCCAGGTGGATCTGCCGGGGCCCGCCGGCGGCCGCCAGGTCGACCTGCCGGGGCCCGCCGGCGGCCGCCAGATGCCGCGTTCCCTGAGGCGTCGGTCGGCCGAACGAGCCAGGGATTCCACGGGGCGCTCAAACTATGCTATTGGCTAGCGAGCGGTGAGCGAGGTTATGCTGCATTTGTATCCAACTAAGTATTGTATCCAACTTGTAAGCGCACAGTCGCCCTCATCGCCTCCGTGGGAATAAACCCCTGCCCGACTACATTTCTTTGATGGCACAACAGCGGGTGTTAAGTGCCAAGATCTTACGAAATCGAGTTTTTCTTGAAATATTGGGGTATAGTCAGCTGGATCAGATTAAATTTACAACGGTCTCGCATGTATTTTCCAGCCCTCACCCGAAAGTGACGCCCATTCGGGGCCCTGCATTAGTCGTTAGCCATAAGCCAGCTGCAAAATCGGCTAACCGGCTAGCCCGCGTCCAGGGCTGACTCACCACTGACTCCAAGACCGCCTTGCCGTAACCAGGGTTGGGTCTGTTGTCTTCTTTGCGGGATGTATGTGTTTTGAGTCTTGCTTTGTAAGGCGTACTGCTGCCGTTGAAACAGTCTGATTTTCCCTCGGCTGTGGTCAGGGACGCAAGATCCGAGAAAAAGGGATGGGGCTGAGCCCCAACGTTCTGAAAGTTCAGCATTGACTCGATGGATACTGTGTCGAAATTAATCCCAAAATGGCTATGGCCTCCCCACTTAATTCGGAAGGACTCCCGTTGTCCCCGAATTTGATGTTGTTGCGCTTGGTTCTCTCTGCCTAGTTTTCTGTTGGAAGCATCGGTCAGATTCTTACTTGCCTCTCATCTTTCTCGCCGTATTTCAAGTGATTTTCTGGAATTCCGCCAAATCCCTCAAAATCGCCAAGTCGCTCAAAATCGCGTCCTTTATATGGCAATTGCTCAGGCCCGAGGCCCGGCCTTCAAGACCGCGCAATTTACATGGCGTTGTCTCCCGGTTTTCGTCATAGTGCGAGACAGCGTCTCGTTTTGTGTTTTATGTCCACGGCGTCTTAGTCGCAGTTGTATTCGAAATCATTTTACAGGTATGCCAGTCACATCGCGGCCCTCCCCGCCGTCCACTTCTTCTGCTTCCCGTTTGGTTTCTGTGTGTGCGATACGGATCGGTCTTTGGATCTGATTGGGGCGGATCATTGTGCAGCACTACGGCAGCTCATGCTTCTTCGGCTTGTCTGTGATGTTCTGATTTTATGTTCGATTTATCTGTGATGTTGTAATGATGAGTGTGAGCGTGCCGGGGTGAGTGAAGGAGTGACGATCCGTCTTCAGGCCGGTCCACTCTTTTTTTTTACGTGACGCTGTGTAACGCTGGGCAACGCACTTTTACCTTGTAGCGTAGACAGCTCTTGACAAAAAGTTAAAGCTTTCCGTGAATAATTGAACTGTGACTGTAATTGTAACTGTAACCTCGATGAAATCTTGGCCTCGCCCCTGCTGTCCAGTGTCGGAGACATGACGAAACCCTACGACGAGCGGCTGATTGTAACTGTAGCCTCGATGAAATCTTGGCCTCGCCCCTGCTGTCCAGTGTCGGAGCCATGACGAGACCCTACGACGAGCAGCTAGCTGTAGCTGTAACCTCGATGAACTCTTGGCCTCGCCCCTGCTGTCCAGTGTCGGAGACATGACAAGACCCTACAAGCCATAATAAGCGGCTAGCGGCAAGACCATACAAACGGCTAGCAGAATCAGATGTATCGCTTCTATGGTAACAAGTACACTACAGAATCGGCGTCCAATACAGACCTTCCCCTGATTGGTGCGCGGTCCAGAATCCTCACCGATGGTCGGCCAATTAAAGACGCCGCTGACCGGTTCCGCTCGTGATTGGCTGTCAGCCATCAATCGCTTTCCCGACGACCGTTACAATTAATATGTGAACAGACGCAGTGCGAGCAGTGTCCGCTTCACCGCGTGACGTCACTCAGTGATATAGTCCCGTGACGTCACTCGAGTGATACATCCGCACAGCCACTGCAACCGGAGAGCGACGGCGTGCTGTTGCCACCTGCCTATGGCGTCTGCCTCCGCCAGGGCGCCGTGAACCAGGACGCCACCACGTTGAGTTGACGTTGACGCCATGTTGACGCCCGGTACCACCTCGTGGGCTCGTCAATCCGGCGCCACGCTATGATTGTCCTGCGCAGAACGCGCCAAAGTTTATCACACACCGCTGCGCACGCTCTCTGAAAAATAAACATCTCTCGCGACACGGCTTTGTAGACGACTTTCGAAGAGACCCACGTCATCGCTGCCGCTGGCGGGCAGGCCGCAGCTGTGTCCGCCGCCGCGCGCTTCAACACCAGACCCATCCCTAAAGGCGACCGTCACCCGCGCAACCCCACTCCACATGCTGGACGGCGTACGAGACGGCGCCCCGGGTCCGCCACCGCTCGAGCACTCCGCGCCTCGCAGCCCGCACCCTGGTGGCGAGCGGCGCCGTGCGACCCCGGCCGGGTCGGGTCACGTGGTCGGCGGCCTCGCCCGCGCCAAACGGGCGGCGACGTCGCTGCGGAGGCACGTGACATGATGTGTCGGTTTTCTCGCGCTGGCGCGCGCGGCTCACTGGGGTGACTCATCGATTACGTCACCCCAACGGCTCCAGCCCCTAGTGCTGAGCAGGTCACAGGCTCGGACGAGTCCTCCTGTGCGCTGGGACGTCCTCTGCCGCGGCAGTGGCGCCATCTTCGTTGGCGGCGGCGTCGCTCTCCACGCCAGCGGAGGCGGCGAATACTCCTGCAGCAGCGGCGGCGTTGTGCTCCGAAGCCACGGTGCCTTTCTCCGCCGTAGCGTCCGTGGCACCGTCCCTGGTGACCTTGGTATCGCCCTCGTCAGCAGCGGCAGTGACACCATCTTTTGCAGCGACGATAGCGCCGTCCTCCTTCGCGACGGTGGCGCCGTCTTTCTCAGCGACGGTGACGCCGTCTTCCGTGGCGGCCTGCGCGGGCGGCCGCGTCTCACACCATCAGAAGTCATCATCCCAGCCGGACAGCTCGTCCGGAGGTGTCTCCAGGTCGCGCGAGTAGCAGTCGAAGTTGGACGCGTCCGTGGGGCCCTTCACCTGGAACGACGGGGCACCGTTCCGTCAGCGCGCATCGGACGCGCCGCTGCCGGGAGCGGAGACATCGAGACACCACTGACGTCATCCAAACATCAATGACGTCATCAAGACACCACTGACGCCATCGGGGCATCACTGACGTCACCGAACACCACTGACATCACCGGCACACTACTGACGGCATCGAGAACCACTGACGTCATATGGATACCAATGACGTCATCGGGACACCACTGATGTCATCGGAACACCACTGACGTCATCAGAACATTACTGGCGTCATCGGGAGCGGGACACGCGCGCAAATCGACGGCCAGAAAGTCCAGTCACTACCGGCACCAACTCTAACTTTGGGGACCCGAGTCCGATCCTCGCCAGACCCTTCAGCCCACGAGTCCCTTTAGTGCTCCGCACCAGCTAACACCCCACAAAACCGGTGCTCGACGACACGAAACGTCCTCCCTTCAAAAAGCCCAAAACCTACGACTATTCTATCCTTGATTGATACCCCCACCAGGCGTTATCTGACCCGACCCCACATTGATCGTACTTACCTGACCTGACCTGACATTGATCGCACTGACCTGACGTGACCTGACATTGATCGACCTGCCTGACGTGACCTACATTGATCGACCTGACCTGACGTGACCTGACATTGATCGCACCGACCTGACGTATCCGACATTGACTGCACTGACCTGACCTGACCTGGCATTGACCTCACCGACCTGCGGTATGATGGGCGGCGTGAGGCTTCGACAGCGCAGGCCCTCCCAGTCAAAGCCCTGGAACCACTTGTGCTTTCGGATGTCCTCGACGCCATTGCGCTGATACCCTGCGGTGAAGAAGTACGGCTTGGTAAGGTAAGACTTGGCGTTGGTAAGGTAAGAAGTAGGTAAGATAAGGCTCGTGCCGACGACGCATACGGTCAGTTCAGTTCCAACCAGCGCTGCTAGCATCGGTGGCGGCGGTAGTCCTCGTCTCCCGGTAGAGCGCGTCCGGCGGCGGCTCGCCCTCGCTCACCAGTCGGCCTCATGCCAGGGCGTGTTCCCGCCGCACAGTGGCAGATGACGAACGGACCTGCGCTGAGAGCAGTTGTGCAGTTGTGCAGGGCGGGCCTGTCCCATTTAGGCATTCTGATCATGGGACATGTTTTATTAAAGCTCGACGCAGTCCCCGACAACATTCAGCATGATTGGCTTGACTGATGAACTATACAAACGCGCATGCGCGTACACATGAAAAAAGCGATGCTCTCGCCGCATAAACACGCAGAAAATATGCAGTTGCTTGTCACCGCTGAGAAAAGGGCCAGAACAATGGCGTCTTTGATACAAGAAATAACGTGTCAAATTTCATATTTTTCTGATTTTCATTCTTTTCATATTTTTATATTTTCATATTTTTTAATGGCATTTATTTCGTCGGTGACACCGGCCTCACACGGACAACTGACTAGCAGAGAGTGGGTCGACAGACGACGGAGTCAGGGCTGACTCGGTGATGCAGCGAAGCTCGCGGATGCCACACGCTGCACGACTTACTTGAAATGGGAATATACCAAAATATTGAAATGGGAATATTGTGGGATTTTGAACGCCCGCTTAAGTCTAATACGCAGTCGGCCATAGGCGTAGGAACGTTTCAAAAATTGGGGAGCAGACTCAGAGTACGCTTAAATTTTTTTTAGTGGGAACCAAGCCAGGTGACCAGGGAGTATGGGCATGGGGGGGGGGGGGGGACCGAAACGAAATACATGAACACCGTCCGTTTTCTTAATTAATAGCATAACACATTCTGGAACAAATTAAATGTTACGTTGACCATGCTAGATTTACGTTTTCAGCTTCTTCCACTGGCGTACGTTCTTGTCCGTTCGACTCATCTATGCCATTTGGGAAATAAGACTATCCAACTTCCTAAGATTACACGTCCATTTCAACACTGTTTTCGTTGTCGAAGCAAAACTTCACTACCGGGAAGGAATTTTGAGTTACCACTGGTCCTATGGCTGCTTTGCCGCACATTCATGGATCAGCATCACTTCTTATTGGTGCGTAAATCAGGAGCGTGATCTACCATTTAGCTGGGAAGGAAAGCTGACCCTCCCCAAATGGGCTTCATTTTTCCCATGTTTTGGAAGAAAACGAGCAAAATCCGGCGGAAAAATCTGCTTGTTGGTATATTTTGGTGGCGGGCCGAGTCATTCTCACTGTTCGATCTCCGTAGCCCCGATCCATTCTGAGAAACTTCATGCCTGCTGTAAATCATCTATTGGACACCTGCTACAGCACCATAGGCATGAATTGGTCGACTCAGCATTAATTTGCCTCTTATTCAGTGAACCTGATTGTATCTGCTTTTGTATGTAGGCAGGGACCTGGCCAGAGCCTTGCCAAGGGAGGGCACAGAGCTGCCAAAAGCTCCCTGATGGTGACTGCCGACCCCAGTAAATCGACGGATATAGCTCACTTGTTTACGAGCCTTGCCAAGGGAGGGGGGGGGGGGGGGCACAGGGTTTACAGAGTCACCCTGATGGTGGCAGACTCTATCTCTCCTGCCCTCCCCCCCCCCCCCACACTAAACAATGCTGAATATAGCTAGCTTGCTTACGAGGGGCATGTTTGTTTTGGTTCTATCGTTATTTTTACGGCGTAATCAGAACAAAACCAGAGACCGAAAGCTACCGCGACATCAATTCTGCTCGTACTTTGAGTTCATTAGACTGCGCAGGATGGCAATGATTTTGGTGGTCGTGTTCCTGTCCCTTTTTAGAGATTTTTCGATGTTTTGGTTTTGTGGTGATTTATGCTTTGTTTGAATCACTGATAACGTCATCAGCGAACGAAAGAAAGATCAATAAATTTAAATCTGCTTTCATTTGTGCCAGTATATCGTCATGAAAGCACACAGGTGTGACCACAACACCCATCTCAAAATGCCAAAATGGCTTCCCGGACCACCGACTCGGTTTTCAGTCAAAGCATCAGCAGATGACTAACAGACGACTAGCAACAACGAAGGGAGCACAACATTGCGGGTTGGGAGTTTTGAATGAGCTATTACGAGTTATCACATCATACTACCGTATCATCTCGCTAAGTGCAGCATAAGTCGGATCATAAGCAACCTATAAAATGTCACGGTATATTATTTCAGCGACGTAATCAAGCAAGCATGGGCTGAATGGAACCCCATAGAAACCAGCCACAGACTGTCCCGCAGAAGCTGACCCAGTCACATACTGTCCCACAGAGTCCGACCCAGTCAAAGACTGGCCCACAGGGGCCAGCTCAGCCACAGACTGCCCCAAAGAGGCCGACCCAGCCACAGACTGTCCCAAAGAGGCTGACCCAACCACGGACTGTCCCACATGGTCTGACCCAAACACGGACTGTCCCAAAGAGGCTGACCCAACCACGGACTGTCCCAAAGAGGCTGACCCAACCACGGACTGTCCCAAAGAGGCTGACCCAGCCATGGACTGTCCCACAGAGGCTGGCCCAACCACGGACTGTCCCAAAGATGCTGACCCAGCCATGGACTGTCCCACAGAGGCTGACCCAACCACGGACTGTCCCAAAGAGGCTGATCCAACCACGGACTGTCCCACAGAGGCCGACCCAGCCGTCACTCACCGAGCCTCTCAGTGGGGATGTCCCTGCACAGCCGCTTGATCAGCTGCTCGCCGGAGCGGGGGATGTGCCGGGGGAAGTCGATGATGTCGATTCCTTTCAAGATGATGTTGTACGTCTTCATCGGGTCAGACGCCGAGAACGGCGGGCTAGAATAATGAAAAATCATTGTTGTCATCATCAAACCACCACCATCAAGACAACAATCTCGTCGCCGTGGTTATTGAAATTGAGATCGCAATCATTTCAACATAATCAACGCCATAGTACCTACTTTCTTAATTTGGAAAAGTTTGAAAAGTTTGAAAAGCGAAAAACAACGAAACTGGCAGCGCAAGCATGAACAACGTGACGCTTGGGTTCATCACAGGCTCATGACGCGACATTGGCGCATAGGTCTACCGCTACCGCTACCGCTTGATACCGCTTTATACCGCTTTATATTATTCCCCCTCGGCGATAGTTATCACTGTAAATACGGAGCGATCGCTCGAGCCTCCAAGACAGAGTTTCCAGGAATGTGGTGCGAATCATTTGTCAAGCCCGTTAACCAGTTGAGTCAGCGCAGCGGTACTTGCCATTTGGTAAGGGCGACGTTCATGACTGTTCAACCACCACGCCAATCAGGGGCCAGACAATGGCCTGCCACGAGCTAACAACCAATCAGCGGTCACCAGTCACTTGCCATTGCCACAGACCGACGACCAATCAGCAAGCAACGATCGTTTGCAACAGGCCGAGACCAACGACTCTATGTCGCTATCAGTCAGAGGCAAATGGTGGCTTGTCCGGACCGGAGATAAACAGTCGTTTGTCGCCACCAATCACAGACCAACGAATCGTTTGTTTCCCTCGACAACTCCGGACAGTTCGACTGGTACGAAAGCCGTGGCGACGAGCGTGGAAGGCAGGCTGCGGCGTTCGCGTTGCGTTCCGTCGTGTATATGTTAACAATGCTGACAATGTCAGGTGGGTGTCAGGTGTCCTGTGTCAATGTCAGTGATCACCAGTGTCACGTGTGAGGTGTCAGGGTCTGCCCGGAGGCACCAGGCACGCATTGGGAGGCTATCAGGCACATCATGGTAATCGCGTGTCGTATCCATACCAAGAGTGCCGCCAGGAGTACAACGACAGGCACCTCCAGCTTTCGGAGAATCGAATATGGGTGGCAGAGCTGAACGCATATAAATCCAATCTGACACCCTAAGTATCCCTCGCTGAACTCTAGCTGCAGGAAACCAAGGTGCCCTGCGACCTTCGACCTCACGACAGCGCCCAGCAGCCGACAGCAGACTGGTACTTACGCTCCCGTGTAGAGCTCGAACATGAGCACGCCGAGGCTCCAGTAGTCGACTGCTCGGTCATGACCTTTGTTCAGGATCACCTGGAGCAGGGGAGAGGTCAGTGCCCGCGTCTCGCTGAAGCTGACAGGCAGAGCGAAAATGGCGGGAGTAGGCAGAGTGGAAATGGCGGGAACAGGCAGAGTGGAAATGGCGGGAACTGGCAGATCGGAAATGGCGGGAAAAGGTACACAGCGAGCCGAGTGAGCTGATGCACTGCGAGACTGGAGAAACAGATGCTGGGATACAGCAGTGAACACGCATCTTGCAAACGTGATGAACAGACACGAGTGCACTTTTCTGTGAAGTTGGAACGCCCATACACCCGCAACATTCCAGAAAATGAGCAGCAAATCTTATAGGGTTGCATTCAAAATGCACTGAACAATTACGTTGAATACCAATCTTCTAAGAACGTTTTACGCAAGTGATCAGACACACAGCGAATTCCGCTAGTGTCGAGCTGACTACAAGATAAGGAGGCTACAGGACCGATTTAATATCAGCTGAACGCATTGACGAAGCAACGCAAATTCACTCCATTCCTTGGACCCAGAGCCCAGCCGTTCAATCGCCTAGCAACTGCCACACCCTCGCTTT